CCCTAAGCCAAAACAGATTTTTTTTTCATTTAAATAAAAAAATTAATTAACAATCTAACTTAAAAAAAATTATATTGAAAACAAGCAGTGTCATAATTACAGCAGAAATACCAAAAATATTGTACTCTATATGGAGGGGGGCACATTACCTTTCTTTGGAGAATATAATTTTTTAATATTTGAAACATGTTTTGTCAGAGAAATTTGATTCTATCTGCAAAGTTTTTACTGGATATTTAGATGTGGGCTTGTCCAAAGTACACAATTGAAGTAAAACAATTTTCACTCAGAATTTGCTAGTAAATTTAACAAATTATTACAAAGAAACAGCAAGTAACACATTGAATTATACATGAAATTTTGAAGTAGAAAGACTTAAACAGTATTTTCAATATTATTGCTTACAACTTGACGATGCATAAATCTGGACACGCCCCCATCATGTTTCATACTTTTGGGCACGCCCTGTCATGCCACATACTTTTGCCCCAATCACGTTGCATACTTTGGACATGCCCCCATCATGTTGCCAGTCTTGGGGAAAGTTACTTTTAAAAGTAATGCATTACAATATTGCTTTACTCCCTAAAAAAGCAACAAATGAAGTTTTTATGGAAAGTAATGCATTATTTTACTTTTGTGTTACTTTTTCTCCTCTGGCCTGGGCTTTAGTTTTTTAATATAAAAAGGGTTTTTTTGGACACACCCCCATCACGACACGCCCCAATAATGTTGCATATTTTTGTACACACCCCTTTCACCTCGCTGTGAGTGTGAACGCCCCTTTAGTCCGACTCTAGGGTGTGTCTGGTACAGCCTGGGTTCAGCACAGAGAGAGTGTGTGTGTGTGTGAAATCAAATGAGCTGAATCATAGTGATCACTGGAGCCCTGCCCCCTTCCGTCTGTCTCTCTGCTGAGTCAGGCCATGAATGGGAGACGGGCCAGAGAGACAGACAGTGCACATGATTCACACACACACTCACACACACAGGGACGGGAGGTGGTGAGGCTGTTCTAGCAGACCGAATGTGCGTGTGATGGAGTGAGCATGGCTTTAGCACTAGCAGCACTGTGTGAGGTTTGAGCGGGCCGGTCACATGTTTAACAGGTCAGTGATGAACACACAGCGGTATGATGACCTCCACTGGACCCACGGCAGGTCGGTATAGGAAACCAGGTTCGGTTGTGTGTCTTTGTGCCTCTGTAACTCTCTCTCTTTCTCATAGATGGTTCGGGCACAGCCTGCTCTCCGCTGGTTAGCAGAATGCTGTTTGCTCCAGAGCAGCAGGATCCTCTGGCTGCCATGCCCAGCGTTGATGAGCTCAATCTGGGCCTGCTGTCTCTGAGCTTCCCCTGCTGGAACCAGCAGCCCTGGAGCCGCCCAGAGTCCCAGCGGCCGACCCAACCCTGCTCCCAAACGCCCGGTGAGTGAACCTGTGTGACCAGCGTAATGTTTAAATGTTAAATGGCCACTCCTATCTGTCTGTTCAAGCTAGTTTCAGACACTTTATCAGTGTTTTTGTCTTGATTATCTAGGAATATACAGTAATATATAAATAATTTTAATATGAATATATAAATAATAAATAAAATATTTTATACTACAAATTAAAATATATAAGATAAAATATATAAACATCCCTTTAAACAAGATACTTTTACTTGTTGCAAAATTTTGTAGAGAAGAAAAATAAGAATTGACTTCAGACTGTCTTGAATATTGTTTATATTGTTAATTTATATGCACTTTATATGCACTTCACAATCAATGTATGTGTTTTTGTGTATGTTATATGTAATATAATGTAATATATACTTTTATATTTAATTGTTTATATGATTTGTATATTTACTGTAAAATGCATCATATAAATTGAATCTTTATTGAATATATATATAGTTATATATATAATATATAACAGTTAAATTTTATATTGTTTTATCTAATGTGTATTTACTGCAAAATACATATAAATTAATTGCTCTTCATTGAATTTATGATTCTCTTATTTGTTTAAATACTTATAACTATACATATATACAGTGTTTGTATATATTGAAAAGCAATTTTTTATTTTAAGCATAAACCTCAGATAGTGTTGTTAGATGTATATATAATATATATAAAAAATATCGATAAAGAAACTGCTATTGTTTTGTCAGACCTTCCAGAACAGTGTTGATGGATTGTTCTGGAAGGTCTGAACTGTAGTGATGTCTCATATCTTGATTTCTCACTCATGACTAATCATTTTCACACCGTTCACAGAGGACAGCATGCTGGATTCATCAGCGTTGGCTTGCATTTCATTTTGACTTTCCCTTGTGCTTCCCTATCTCAGATTACAAGCGTAAATGCGTGTGTCCATCCATGTTTTAAATGAAAGCCATGATGTGCCTAAGGTTTGTTCTGACCCAAATCCAGTAATAGAGGGATACACACACACACACACACACACACACACACAGACCGAGCTGTTTTCTGCTGTCTCATCCAGCACTTCTCTCATTCATTCAGTCTTTTCACAGTAATAGTGTTATTTTCGGACAGAATTTCAGACAGATATACACAAATGATAAACATGCCACCAAACTCACAGCACTGGTTGAGCCAGAAGTTGGGCAGTTTGTCAAAAGTAGCTAATACTCATACTCATATTTTATTTTCATATTTATATTTTGTAAATATTTTTGTATTATTTATTGTTTTAAACATGCTTTCAAAACTATTGGCTCGGTAATTTTTTTTTTTTATATATTTTTGAAAGAAGTTTCTTATGCTCATCATGGTTGCATTTATTTGATAAAAAAAACAGTATTATTGTGAAATATTTTTACAATTCAAAATAACTGTTTTCTATGTTAATATATCTTTAAAATAATTTATTCCTGTGATGCAAAGCTGAATTACACCAGTCTTCAGTGTCACATGATTCTTCAGAAATCATTCTAATATGCTGATTTGCTGCTCAAGAAACATTTCTGATTATTATCAATGTTCAAAACATTTGTGCTGCCAAATATTGTTATGTAAACTGTGGTACATTTATTTTCAGGATTCTTTGATTAATGTTATGTATATTTATGTATATATGTTATATTTTGAAACACATTCTTGACATTTTGCAATTATGATTTCACTATAATAAGCAATTTAAAGATAAAATTTAAGTTTAAATTTAAAGGATATAATTTTCAAGAGACAAAAACTGTTAAAAAAAAAAAAAGTTGCTCTGTCAGTAAATTGCACATCTCATAAAAATCACACTGATTCTCTCCTGCAGCGTTGGATCTCTTGGGTGCTTCAGAAGGCGGTGATTCGGGTCAGCTGCATGCTTTCCAGGCCCACGAGTCTGCATCTGGAAATCCACTGGAGCACTTCTCAAGCCTGATGGCGGCGCTCGAACCTCATTCTCTGCTGCACTCGGGATCCAGCAGCCCTGTCAACTCTGAGAACAGCGCGATCTCGTCAGGATCCGACCACCTGGTGAGCAACAACATTCCGCTCTGATACCCAAAACCCTAAAGAGTGCAGTGGAAGCTGTTTCCATAGCGACAGTTTCAGTTGTTCCAAAGTTACAGTAAAGTTGTATCTGTATCCGTCTCTTTTAGGTCTCTCTCAGAGTTTCTCCTCCGTTGCCCCTGATGCTTCCCGGACTGCAGGCGGAGGGTGTGAAACTGGACACAGATGCCTGTTTGGAGCAGAACCCCCTAAACACCTTCACGAATGCTTCCAGTGCTCGGGCCGAGGGGTCAGTGGTTGGGTGCTGGTCCACAAGTCCTGTCTGGTCCGGCTGGGACACTTTGGGCTTGAACAAACCCACGTTCTGCATCGAGAGAGAGGCGAAACTGCATAAACAAGCTGCAGGTACAGTGACATTAGCCACCCTGCTAAACAGAACAGGAGGCAGCATTTCTCTTAGATTCACTAAAAACGTTACTTATTTAAAAAAAAAAACAGCTAGTCAGAGCTCAGAGAAACTCAAAGCAGGTGTTTTGCGATGCATTTTAGTAAGTTAAATTGTTTTTAAATTGACATAGCATGTTATTAAAAATGTGATGCTCACAGTGTGAATGCAGATGGCTAGCTGCTTGTTTTTAGCATTTCACATTGGGACTGTCATATTTATAAGACGCAATGTCAAATTAATCCTGTAAAGCCTACTGTATCATATTTATCATATATATATGCACATTTCTAAGGCCTCTAAATTATTAACATGATCAAAAATTTGCTGAAAAAAACAATCTACTACATGTCTTCTGACATATGATTGATATTTTATACCTTTTTAACAAGTAAAAGGCCTTTTAGTATGAGCTAAAAATGAATTATATTAGGTGGTGGTTCACCTGTCTTTTTGATGTGAAATCTACTGATTTTTATTAAGTAAACATAAGAATAATTCTAATATTGTTAGTAATATTTCAGGATGAACACTTGCTGGACTGAAACAACTTAGGTTTACTTGATTATCCATACATACATTTTTAGAAATACCATGTTAAAATGTATCAAATATGATCCATCAGAGCCAATGTTTATTTGTTCATCTCTCAATCATCATTGTATTGCATTGCATTATATGTTTTGAAAAACGACAGAGCTTTGATCATAAAACGAAGCATTTAATGTGATATTATTAAAACATATTATTGGGAAATACTGATATTTATTTTAGCCATATAAATGTCAACAATCGCACCAAACAACATATTTTTTACTAATTAATTTTTACACATTCTTTTTATATTTTGTCTAAATGTTCATTAAACTGTTCCATTTCTTATATATTCTGACTGTTATTTCATATGTCAGGCTTTAAAAATGGTTAAACGTTAAAAAAAACATTTTAAAAGCCTTGTGTTCTGTCTATAGTTGTTATTAATATTGTTGTGATTTTATGACTGAACGTTTCTCACAGCCGTAAATGAAGCCACTTACACCTGGGAAGGACGGCTTCCTCCACGCCACTACAAAAACCCTGTTTACTCCTGTAAAGTGTTTCTGGGAGGAGTGCCATGGGACATCACAGAGGGTGAGCTGACTGACACTCATTTGAGATGTAGGTTTTATTCTGTATTATGGTTCTGAACACAAACAAGTTGTAAATAACAACTTTTCTGTCTCTGTAGCGAGTCTGTTGAACACATTTAGTGTTTTTGGTCCATTGAAAGTTGAGTGGCCTGGTAAAGATGGTAAACATCCACGCTGTCCTCCGCAAGGTAACAGCAGAATTCATCTTATAGTAGTATATATCATCTATAATTCAACAACATCTCATACTAAGTAGGCTCAGTGTAAAAAGGACCAATATAGAAACATATTTGATGTTTAACCATATAAAGCTTTTATGGATTATTCATGCTTTTCAGGAAATAGAAATCATTTAAAATCATTTCCAAATGATCAGCATTTGTGTCACACATCTTTTTGCTGGGAAATCGTTGCTGAATTTGATCAAATAACAGCAAGAATAACTTTTATTTTGTTACTGATATTTCAGAATCAATATTTAGCACCTTGAAATCAGTGTTATTTTGTTATACTTTATATACTATTATAGTTTATATTTGATATTAGTCTAATATTTTGAATTAGCTTTTTTTTGTAATTTTGTTATGTGCTTTTGTCATTATTATTATTATTGTTTTAGTTTTTAATTACTTTTTCGGTTTAAATAGTTTTTATTTCAGCTGTAGTTTTAATTCACTTTTACTTTTTATTTATTTCCAGTTAGTAATTTAAGTAATTTAATTTCAAGGTTTAGTAACTTAACTTCAATTTAATTTATTTAATTTAAATTATTTTAAAAAGTCTTTAATATTCTTAGATAACAATAATAAACCTACTTAAAATGCCTTTCATGATGACAATAAAATGATCATCAAACCATTTAATTATTAAATTATAGTAAAAATTAGATTTTACTAAGAAATATTTAGTTTTTAATTGATATTTTGTTTACAAATGATATTTGCAGACTGCTTCATAGTTATTAAAATTACATTTGATTTGCATTTTTCAATATTCAAAATAATGTAATTTATGCATATATTGATATATTTGTACATTTATGTTTATAATATATTTATATTAATCTTATTTTACCTAGTTTATTTGGTGACATTGAAACTCGGTTTTTGATTTCCACTAATCTAAATGAGAAGTCCCTTTTATGAACAAAAAATTATGAAATGAATAGAAATGCTTCAGAGATTGTAAAAATACATCAATGAAAAAAAGAAAAGAATAAAAATTAAAACATTGAAAAAAAATATGTACACACATACAGTATGTACAGAATATTCAGTATAAATAAATTATATATATATATATATATTAGGGGTGTAACGGTACACAAACATGATGATTCGGTACGTACCTCGGTTTTGATGTATGTTTCGGTACAGCAGGGGGAAAAACTAAACAACATTTTTTTTTTTTTGTTATTTTGTTTTTTAAACAGGGATCAATTACTGATCAAATTGCTCTTTCTTTAAAGGGGTCATATGATGCAATTTCAAGTTT